GCATGGCAGGGTATGGTCCTTCATATTGCGGTTGACTTGAGCGCCTTACCTTATCTGCTCCGCCTGATCCCCATGCCCTCACCGAGCGGGTGTTCTCGATCAGTCGTTCCCAGTCGGTCCCGACCATGTCAGTCAGAAAAGAGCAGTGAGCAGAGGTCTGGTGTATCCTCGGTTGGAGAAGGAGGTCAGAGCCGGACTACGGTTCCACCTTGGCTAGGCCTTCCGGTCGGGGACCAAATCGTTGTCCCGGCCTGTCATTATGTACCTGAGCCGGCCCAGGCGCACATTGTTGCTGCGCCACCTACTAGGCCGAGTTTTACAGGGAAGTGGATCCATTGGGGACCCCGGATTTATGAACCCGACAATATGTCTCCATCCAAGACTGTTTGGAAATTTCTAAAATTTACATCTCAAAACATGTGACATACAAACAAATATTCGAGACACTATAAAACTTCAAATAAAAAATTTATCAACAAAAAACAGGTATATCACATCAGCCACTACAACTTTGGTATTAAATATGTGAAAATTCAACATTGTTTAGAAATTCTAAATTTTGAATTTCAAAATCTAAGAACTTAGAACACCTATTTAGAACTCTAAATGACTTCAAATCAAAAACTTTTCAACTACAAAGTTGTAGACTTTATTGATAACTACAAGTTTGGTACATGTCAACATTCGAGGTGATTTGAAAACTTTAAATTTCAAAATTCATGAATTAAAATGATATTTTGTGACTCTAAACAGCTTGAAATAAAAAAAATCTCAACTACGCGATCTACAATTTCATACAAAGTTTATCTTGATATGAGTTTATATGAAAAAGTTATGATTTTTTATGTAACTATCTATAGAGATGGACATTTTAAGGTGTCCGCCTCTAAAAATCGATTATTTGAGACAAGCGCTTAGAATGGCTTCCGCCTAGGATGAAAACGGGACAGATATTTCCCGATATCCGTCCGTCTCGAAATGGTCAAAACACTATTTGGATAGTCCATATATGAATCCGAACATTTAATATCCGACCGTATTCAAATCCGAATTCTTAAAAATCAGATTTCTAGTATGTATATGAGGTAGATATTCATATCCGAATGATCCGTATCCGGTTTTAAGATCCGATAAAAAAATATGGGATATAATACGGGATATGGGACATAATGTAGGATCACTGGTATCCATCTGTATCCGATCCGGTTTCATCCTTGCCTGCCTCTGTTAATAGCGATTTTTAGAGATAGGTGTCCTAACTCCTAAGGTGACCACATCTTTTAATCAATGATTTTTAATGTGGTCGTCTTAGGACACTCGTCTCTCTAGATGATCTTCAGAGACACATTTGCCTGAAGGCCACCTGACCATTTACGGAGGTGGTATGCCCGCCTTTATTTATGAGAGAGACTGTCTCATAAGATCATTTTTGTGGTGTGAAACAATAGTAGTAGGAAGGCCATGAAGTTTGTAAATGTTGTTTTTAAAGAGCTTTGCAATAGTCAACAGAATGAATGGATGAGATAAAGACAAAAAGTTGGCATATTTGAAAAACTTATCAACAATGACCATAATACAATTTTCCCTAGAAGAAGAGGGTAAGCCTTCAACAAAATCCTTACTGACGGTGTGCCAAAAGTGGTCTGGTATTGGTACTTGTTGAAGTAAGTAAACCAGGATAAGCAACTCTTTCCACTTTGGCTTGTTGGCAAACACTACAAGAATCAACAAAGTATTTGATACTATGTTTCATCATAGGCCATGAAAAATGATTTTAATCATGTTATAAGTCATTGGTGCATTCAACACTAGTCGTGCCCTGCCTCTGGGTATACAACTGCGGGGATTTTAGTTGTTTACATGCTTTGCCTATTCATTTGATCAGCATGTTTGCTTTTGCGAGTAGATCACACGAGCACATAACTATTATCACAAATATCTTTACAATTTTTTGAATTTAAATATACTGTAATATGCCTAATTTTTTTATGGATCAATCCGAGATCCAATATGTGCCCTAAAAATAAACTGCAGGAATGAAATAGTTGTAGGTAGTCCTTTTGAACACAATTGCCCTGTTCGTTTGGACTTATTTGGCTGATAAGCCATAACTGAAAGTACTGTTGGCTGATTTGGTGTAAGAGAAAAATACTATTCGTCGGCTGAAAAAGTACGGCTTATAAGCCAAACGAGCCCAAACGAACAGGGCAAATATCATTTCTACCCAACCACAAAGATCAGCATAGCTGCCACGCCTGCTAAGATTTGATTTCTAAAATTTGAAGAGAGAATTTTTCAGCTATAAGAACCAAAGAAGTGGTCTACACTAGATAGGGTTGAATATTAAAAATGATAAACACCGCGTTGCTTATACCTGGGCAAGGTCCCAAGTCCTAACTATTCAGAGAGGTTCAGGGCACACTCCTTACGTCATACTCACGGGCTCACAACTAATGGCATGCTGTGAGAATACAGTGCTTCGACATATCGGAGGCTTTGTGTCCTAAAACAAATGATGGGCATAACCACCCCGGCTGACCCTTCGTCTCGTACTAGCCATGATTTTTATGCATCGACCAATTTGCATGACACTTTGTTGGTGGATCAAGAAAGGTAGAAATTAAACCGATTCATCATATTTCAACTTCTCGCAGCGCTGGCTATTCTGTCCAGAATCACTTCACACACGGAAGAAGATTCGTTGTTAGTGTAGTGGTTCGGAAAGCTTGATCTGTCTTTGTAACTCGAGGTCCACTAGCTCTTTTCAGCCTTAGCTTTTGCAAAGGTTGCTGATGATGCCGGTGTTTTCCAAATTGCAAAGGCTGAAGAGTTTTCTGTGGCAGGCCAAAGCGAGAGAGAGGGGAGAGCAGCGGCTTTCTAGAGTTTATACCACCCAGTGTTTCTCAGCTGTTTCGAAGTTGGGTTAGGCTATGATGGTACTCTGAAGTGCTGTGAACCGTCAATTTAAATGAGACTTAAAGCATGTTATCTGCTAGGAGGTAATAGAAAAAAAAACATATTTGCCAGTTGTATGGTTGGTAATAAAAAAAAACATGTGTTAATATGCTCGTACATTGCAATGTGACGCACAGTTGGTTGCATGATGCTCATGCCAATGGTAATAAGCTAGTTATTTTATTGAATTTAATTAGCTTTGCTCGATTTTAAATCAAATAAATTGCAAGGTTCACAATACATGCTAGTGCAATAAAGGACTAATCTCACTGAAAAATTGACTCAACTTAAATAGATGACAATCGTGTGCACCCGTTGTGAGTTTTTTTAAAAACATGGAAAGTGAGCCATATGCCCTCTCGTGTGCCACAACGCAAATGGGCTCATGCGGCACCAACGAATGTTTTGTAGTTCCAAACTCAAAGCGAAAAAAAGATAAGATTGAGGGATAGAAGATTTGAACTCAAAGCGAGAAAGGATGAAAGTGAGGGACGGATGATGAGTGAGAGACAGAGAGCGGGAGAGAGTGATAGATGAAAAAATTGTACTATTTATAGATATTTTAATGGCATTATTGTATCATTTATTTCAAAAATCAAGAACTACAATTCATTTGAGCTCTTACCTCTTAGGCATAGTGCTAAATATCATTGGTAGTGCCCGCAACAGTGGTCACTATAGCGGTAGTGGCCTCTGCCACTATAATGTAGTCGACCAAAGATAACGTGTTGGGATTTAGCGGCCACTATAACGCTTAGCATCCGCTATTGCAAGCCACAATTATTGTTGTTGGGCCACTATTTACTATGTGGATTGTTCCAATGATAATAAAAATATTAGGATGATGATTTAGACCATGATAAAGAACAATGGATGATTAATGATATCATTTTCAATTGGTATGAGAACTTAAATATAATTTGTCTCCACATGTGTTTTTTATATATCTTATTCATCTATATGTTTTTTTTTGGTTTTGTGTCATTAAATTTAATAATTAATTAAAAATTCATAATAATTTTAAGCAAACATGATAACTATCAGCAAACTGAATTTTCTTGGTGGCGATAAATTTCCTTGAAGGCTAAAATAGAACTCCCAAGAAAATAGGACTTTACTTGGCAGTTTAGGTAAACCTCCAAGGAAACACAAGTTCCTTGGCGGGTAGATAGAACAATCACGGAAATTAGACATTTTTACTGGGAATGTATCATAAATATTTCTTACAACATGCTACTATTTTTAGTGTTATGAATGAATGATTACACTGAATTGAATTTGCTGATTACTGTATTTTTTTTTTGTTGGTGGCATTTGTTTCCTTGGCGGTTGGCAGCCAAGTAAATGCAATAACCTTGGCTGTTAAGGCTGCCAAACAAACTCATTTCCTTAGGGGTTAAAAGCAGTCAAAGAAATTGTTTTTACCTTGAAGGCTTCGATAATTATCTTGCCTGTTACTTGCCGCCAAGGAAAGTTGTACTCTTGGCGGTTGATATATTTTCTTGGTACTCTGGTAATTTTGATGGTGGCCTGTTTTAGTACATAGCAGATTAGTGCCACTGTCTGCTATTTAGTTACATCGCTCGGAAGTAACGAGTACACCATTGCAAGGAGCCTGTTCGGCTGGCTGGCTGAATCGTGGATTATTATTACTAACTGATTTGATGTGAGAGAAAAATACTATTCTAGCTAAAAATTTATGATCATATACGAGAGCCCAGCCTGCCGAATAGGCTGTAGATACCCATCTGTACCCGTCACTAACTCCCAACCGGCCTCCTCCTGTCCTCCACCTCCCATGGTTAGCCAGCACTGTATTCTTGCTGCCCCCTCAGGTTTGCTATCTCCTTCGGTCTTCCCTTTAGAGCCACCGTACTCCGATGAGTCTTCAACCCTCAAAACATGAACCTCCTAGTTTGTGGCCTCTAATAACAACTCCAGGGCCCTCAAACAAGCTCATAAACCTAAATCTAAGGGCTCAACTAAAAAGCATAGTTTTAATAGTGTCTCTATTCAGGCCTTCAAACTAGAGGCACTCAAATCCCTCAGTATGGCCCTCGTTCCTGTGAGCATCGACCATGGCCCCCATCGGGTGGTTGGCCGCCTTTCTCTTCCCTCCCTGTCATGGTGCCCCTCCCCGCTGTGCCTCGGGACCCGGGCGCACCTTTCCCGGCCATGGACAGCCGTCCCAGTCGTCCTTCTTCCGGCCACGACGCCCTTTCCCCGCCGCCGTCTCCACCCATCGCCAGGGCATCCCATTGACGGGGTTCGAGGAGACGGTGTGGGCAGACACCCCATTTGTCCTCCTCCCGGCCGCGATGCCCCCCTTCCTCCGCCACTGGGGCATCCATCGCCGGCCCGATTCGAGGAGACAGGGGACACGGGTGAGGAGATGGAGAGAGGAGGAAAAAGGGAATGACAGGTGATGGGTCTTATTCGCTGGCGTCTATTTATTTGAATTTGAGGGCCCTGATTTGCTATAGTCGCTTTAACATCTTTAGAGTTTTCGCTAGAATCATAGAAGATAAAATAAAAGCCATTTGTGTGAAGACAAAATCAATGATGATAGTTGCCGAAACACCTGAATGTTGTTTTTCTTTTTTTAATGTAAATGACAGGAGCTCTTACTTTCAATTAAAATGAAAAGAGTCATAGATACCGAAAATGGCAAGAGCCCTGGAAATGTTGTATATCTTACGTCTTTGTGAAAAACGAAAAAAAAATGTTATCCATTAGAAACTTACATCGCAAGGTTTAGGTTGTTACTGATGGATTTTCGATAAATCCGGTATTTCTGTTTTATCAGTAAAACCTGATAAAATTAGTTTATATCACCTAAACTATCAGTGTTAGCTCGCTAACCGGCCTCTCCTCCCGTTTACTGGTCACCTCGGAAATATTGTAAACCATTCGACGCATACACATCAAGCCCAGCCGACAAGATCGCTTTACAATGTTCGTGCCCTTTGAGGACTCGATCATTTCCTCCGCTTTTCCGTCGAATCACGCTCTTACCTGACCTGACAAGACAGTGAGGATGTGTTTTACAGAGGTAGTACAGAGCACTCATCGATGGAATACTAGATAATGAGGCAATTTAATTGAGACAAAGATATCCCAAAGAACAATCACACACGAAGCACGATGATATACACCCTGGTGTTGAACATACAACGACAGCGGCATCAGAAAAGGCACTCGCCACCGCAGAGTAACATACATACATGAACTGCACGGCGAACAATCACCAGCAAACGTAGCAGATTACACGAACCATCAACGGCCAAGAACATAGCCAGCTGCATGCACTGTCTCTACCCTGAGACGACTCTGACGATCGACAGCCGTGCCCCGTCAGAAGAGCGCGAGCTTGATCGCAGCGCCCGCGGCCGCCGCGACGACGGAGGCCATCGCCGGGACCTGCAGGGCGCCCGCGGACGGCGTCGTTCCCGATGGCGTGGCGGCGACGGCGACGGCTAGCTTCATGCCGTTGGCGCAGTGGCCGGGGATGTTGCAGATGAAGTAGTACGTGCCCGGGGTCTGGAGCGTGATGACGGTGTTGCCGCTTTCGTCGTCTTTCAGCGCGTTGGCGCCGGAGCAGGTGTCGTAGCCGCTCTTGCTCACCTCCGTCACCGAGTGCGCCTTGCTCATGTAGTTGAACACTGCGCAATAATCGCGGCGTCGCATTCCCAGTTGCAGTTGCAGTCTCACGCTTGATGGAACGAGACGTACGTGAAGGAGCAGAGAGGTAGCTCACCTAGTTTGTCTCCGACGGCGAAGCTCTTGCCGCTGGCCCAGGTGCTGTAGTCGCCGTTGGTCGTCCAGCCCTGCGAGTCGCCGACGGTGTACGTCGTGGCTGAAGCCAGCGCCGTGCACCCGGCGACGAGCAGCGCCACGAGGAGGAGCAAGGAGTTGGCCATGGTGATAGATCTTAGTCTTAGCTTATCTAAGTATGATGGGCTGGAGGTACAATGGAAGGGACGAGCGCAAGGTAGATATAGAATACCAACAGGATTAGCACTATTGTTGCTATGTAGGGCACTAGACTGGAGGTTGGAGGGTCTATTTATAGATCACAGGGTTGCTAAAATGTTTTCTGAAGATTGAAAAGATGACCCATGTGTCTGTCAATCGAGCATTATTTTCTTCGATGCACATTCCTACTCTCTCGTCTCGTCCCTTTTATCACCTTTTAACCGATTTTTTTTTTCAAAAAGAAGAGAAAGTGAAATGAAATGTTGCAGTGTGTGAAGAGAATGGAATTGGAATGCCTTGGGTGCGACTCAAAGCTTCTCAGAGGGGACGCGAAAGTTGTGCTTAGGCCAGCTGGTGGGGCATCTTTGACAAGATCTCTACCTGTGCAGTTTCTGGCAATCTCGATCGCTTCCTTTTGTATGATCAGAACATGCATGTTTTCTACTACTACTTTGGAACAGAGACATTCGAGGGCATTGAAAACAGAAAAGGGTGTGTTCATGGCTCCAACCAGCTTTTGATTTCAGCAAGTGAAGCAGAAAAGGTGCTCTGAAAAACGAGGGTCGAATGATGGCCGGCGAGGGAACTGATGCCAAAGTGCTGTAGAGCAGCTAAGGCGTCGGTTAGCTTCGCGTTTTTTTACTAGTTTCACACAGCTAGTGCACGGCAGCGCCGACGAAGCAGGAGGCTCGGATTTGGAGCCCTTGGGTTGTTCCACCTAACGCATTGACCCGGTGTCGGTGTGTGTGCCCCCAGGTTCCCAGATCCAAAGGACCGGTCTCAGTGGGAGGCGCTCATGCTCACGCCTCATGCTCGGGTTCGTCACGGCCGTGCATCTTGCTGGCGAAAGTACTGATCTCACGGTGATCCTGAGGTTCCGACGAAGTCTCCGGCAGGCCGTAGGCGTCGCATCGCAGAGCACAGCCCGGCCAGCCCGCTTCGCCAATCTTGCGGTTGCGGGCCCGTCCAATCTCAGGATGGATAGATCTGCATGGTCGCGCGGAAAAATATCGCCCTGACGTGCCCCTGCATCTACGGACAGCTAAATTTTTATACTAAAAACGTATAGATTGTATGATAAGATAATAATATTATAAAATTAAATATCAACGTTAAAGTGATATTTAATCAAAAAGCAAAGTTTGTGAAATTAACACAGTCACGGAGGCACGGTGTCGTAGGCTCAGAAACTCTACTATCAGCATGTTCGCTTGTTGGTTTCAGTCAGGACTTATCAGCCAGCCAACAGTGTTTTCCTCTCACAACAAACCAACACCAGCCGGACTTATCAGCCCAGAAACCAACCAGCGAACATGTCGTATATATACCTTACGTGATGCTACTAAATAATGTTTTATATCGGCGAGAAGAAATCTTCGATATTCATTTCTTTCGTGCGCCAATAAATCCACGAATAAATTCTGCTACATCTCCATACCATCTTATACAAGGTTCAAGTATATATATGTAAATATCAGTGCATGTCACATGAGTAATACTACGTGTCTTGAAAAAAAAAATCTCTCACAAAATCTTAAAACAAAGTATGTTATACTCACCGTATAAATATATGTGGCTTTAGGACTATTCCATGCAGACATATACTATAAAATAAGGTATCCACTTGAGTGTTTATAGCAAGATTCACCATCAGCAAAATATAGAAATAGTTAAATTATATATATTATTATTGCAAGTGACGCTGACTCTGAGTTATCCACTTGAGTGTCTATGTCATCTGCAATGTTTTTTCACGGATGAATTTCCATTTGAAGGTATCCTCGTTCCATCACTGCGGCCATGTACTGCAAGTTAAATCCAAGAGTTTGCCTAGCATACATTAGCACCGGTGTGTCTTTACACCACTTTTTAACAGGTTTAGAGTCAATTATGCTAAGCGTCTTCTTCTGCTGATCGAAAACATAAAGCATATATTTCCGAATATGTAGCCATTGCAAAAGAAACTGTAAACATGATGCGATTAGAATAATATATAGAAAACAAGTAATAAAAGCCAGGACTGTGTACTGGGCAATTCGAACGCCTATCACCTCATTTCCCAAGAATCCAAGTAACAAACAGTGCAACTTCATCGTCTTTCTCTTGGCCTCAACATTCATCCCTCATCGCCACCCTGTTGTTGGTCTGCTTCAAGGTGTTAGTGTGCCACCAGCAACAAACTCCTCACAGCCACCTGCCCACCTCTCACCTCGAGTATCTCGATTGGGTGTCCCAACCGATCTAGCGACTGAGAGGAAACCAGCAGTAATCAAACCTGAAAGAGAGTGAACCCTCCACATGCAGTGAGATTCGGTTTTTAGCTAACTAAAACAATAGAAATTCAACTGAGATAACTTGGGTTTTGCCGATGAAATATCAGAACCATGTGACTCTTAGGCTTCAGGAAGAATCGCACGAATGGCTTCAGCCCAATGGTCCGTAAGAAGCCATAAAAGAATAGAATCTGACAAAATGTCAAACAGTAGTGCTCATCAGTAAAGGAGGCTAGATTGAAGTTGGAACAAATCAATAGGAGCAAACTAACTAATTACTTAGTGAATCGAGAAACAGATAGAATAGGATCCAAACACTCATGGTTAGATACCTGTCTCCAATTGAAGATCAGACAAACACTCACAGTCACAGCCAGGTAACAGTTCTTATAAAAGAAATTGGATTACCCTGACAAACTAAAAGACATTATACTGGGAGAGGTATTTACATGTTCACTCAAAGACAACAGAACCAAACTTCTAATCTAATTCTTAATTTAAAAGATATATTTTTATTAATGAATAGATTTTGGCTCAATATGTTCAGGCAATCAGCATGTAATAATAATCTAGATCCTCACATGTTTCATTTGGATCACTTATGAGGCATTCACGTTGTTTACTGTAATAAATTGATCAGACTTTCTAGAGAATGCTTCACAATGCAAACTAAGGCAGAAAGCACTGAAGAGATAAGGAAACAAACGTGCAAAGATTATTCAGGCCAAGAATTGAGAACCAACTGGAGAAAGACCACCTTTTCATAATTCCAAAGAATTGGCGCATATCTAACATCCCCCTCGAGTATATATGCAACATGATTGCCACCACTGCCGCCCTCACCCAAACCGTACCCTGGTCTACAACCTCCTGGAGAACTCCCTGAGACTACTTGCATGCTAATTCTTAGGAGTACTACATTGTATTATCATGTCACTCTCAAACTGAGAGAAAAGTAAACAATTTAACCAATAGATTGTGCTAAGATTCATATCCATCTCAACTAATCCATGGCCTCCAATCTCCAGAAAGTATACCTTCTAGTCTATACATCCTATTAAATCAAACAACCATGAGAGTTAACATATGGTATATTTTTCTAA